TTATCCGGTCTGAATATAATTTACATTGCTGGAATTCTTATAATTTGATGATCATTTTGAATATAAACATCATATTTTTGCATTAGACATACAAATTTTAGATAAAAATTTTTCTCAAATTAACTATGTTATCTTTTGTGCAAAATATATGACATTTATATTCAAAATATTCCTGGTCTTACAAGGAATCCAGCAATGTCAATTATATTATCCTAACTTTAATCTGAGGTATTATTTAATACTAAATGTTAAAAACCCTGGAAGGGAGGATTGGTGGGGGGTGGGGGGGAGGGTTGGGACTGACCGCGCGGTTGGAAGAGGGGGGGAGGCAAGGTGTGGTACTTTGATTGACAGATAGTGTTGTGAAGATTATTTTTTTTTTTATTAACTGAAGATATTTGTTTTCGCTCATAAAATTCATACAAATTACCCGGTCAGAATATAATTTACATTGCTGGAATTCTTATAATTTGGTGATCATTTTGAATATAAACATCATATATTTTTCATTAAACATACAAATTTTAGATAAAAATTTTTCTCTAGGTAACTATTTTATCTTTTGTGCAAAATATATGACATTTATATTCAAAATATTCCTGGTCTTACAAGGAATCCAGCAATGTCAATTGTATTATCCTAACTTTAGTTTGAGGTATTATTTATTAAAATTTAGTGGTTTTCCCCCAAAAATTTCTCTGAGAGGGAAGAGCCAGCGAGTGTAGTGTGAGAGGGGGAGGGAGTTGAGTCCATTATTTGAATGGACATTAACTTGGCGACTGTATTTCTCTTAAGTATTAATTGTGTGCATGTACCATCATAAAATTAAGATGTTATTTTTACTACAACATAGGTATGTGCCTTCAAAAAGTGGAGTTTGGGGGTCGGGCCGGTTTCTATTGGAATTAATCCCATATGTTCTGTTGTTCACTTAAAGCGGATTTCACTTAACGCGGGACCCTCTGGGTTCAATTGACCGCGTTAAGTGGGGTACAACTGTATTTACTATTTTCTATAAAAATGTCATTGATTTTCTGAATATATAATGTATTTCATGGGGCAAAGGGAGGCTCAGGAACGTAACTCCCGTATCTTATCTATTTATTACGGGGAAAATTGATCCACTTAACGTTGTTTCGTATAACGTCGCATTTTCAGGAACGTAACCTCGACGTTAAGCGAGGACTTACTGTAGCAAAAATACAGTATTATAAATAACTCGGTTACACTTGTAATTTTCACACTATCATCACCAGTAAGGCTCTCACTACATGATAACTATTTATGATTCATGTACTGTATATACAATGTCTCTTTTAATCATCACATTTTGGTGACTATCTCTTCAAAAGGCAAACACTCATGTATTTCAGGAGTAAATTCTATTTGACACAGAGGATTCTGTTAGTGGTGGAAAGGGGGAGGAACCTGACAGCAAGGAAATAACCCCTTCTTATGAGTACAGGGTATACTGTATAATTAAAATCATGTTCTGGGTGACATAAAGAAGACTGACTCCCCAATAGTGAGAGTGTTACAAAAGCCACATAATTTAAGAGCCGAATTCAAAACTAAAGATAACAAATAAAACTGTAATATTAAAAAAGATTAAAAGCCCAAAACTCAGACAAAGTACAGTGTCTGCAAATTCACGAAGTTAAATTCTCTTTTTGTTAGAAATTTTATTAAAATCTTTGAAAACCTTAAACATTTTAACAAGACCAAATGACAAAAGAAAGAATTACATCAATCAAACTTAACTCTACCAATAATACAGTGCAACCTCAAAAATTTGAATTGCATGGGCCCATGAAGTACAGTGGTCCCTCGGTTAATGAGCACAATCCATTCCAGAAGGTTGCTCGTTAACCGAAAAACTCGTTAACCGAAACCATTGTTTCAATGGGTTTTTGGGTAATTGGTTCCAGCTCACCGAAAATTGCCTAAATTCAACAAAAAATGTAGAAAAGTGCACTTACTTTGAGGTGTGTATGTAGAAGGCTCCTGGATGATGATGATGGGAATTAGAATGGGGGTGGAGGAGAAGGGAAGAGAAGGCATTGGGGTGGAAGAGAAGTCACCCCATGGAGCCATTTCACTCATAAAATTTTAGTTCTCTTGGTGTAATTCAAGATTATTTTCTTTAAATCAACACTGCACTGCATTATATATTGTCAATATGTAAAATAAATTTCAAAATGACCAATAATTTGCTTGCAAACACAGAAAAAAGCATTTAGTTGAAGAGTCTCAAGCAAGATGTTACCTCCACTGAAAAGACACAAAGACTGACGCCTGTATGGTGTGTTGAGAGGCTGGATGGCGTGCATAAAACTAGTTTCATTACTTTCAATTATATTCAATAATTGTTAAAATGACTAAAAAATATAATATTAAACTTTTAAAATTATTGAATAGTATAAACTTCTTGATATTTGCTAAAATGGTAAGGAATTTAAGCCCTAGAACCGATTACTGTATTGGCAGACTAATACTACAGCTGGTGGACCGCCAAATGCAAGCGAAAACATGTTCAGGTCGGCTCGTAAGAAACTCGTTAATCGAGGGATTGCTCGTTAAACGAAGTTAAGAATCTTATGGAAGGTAACTCGTTAACCGAGGGACCACTGTATACTAATTTTAGAAAAATTCAAATTTTAGATGTAAGGAAGCACCAGAGCAAATTGTTGCATCAAAACATGCTACAAAAATTATTTACACATCTAAAAACTGTCAATAAGCAATAGGTATAAAAAATTAAAAGTATTACTGTATTTATATTCAACAACATTTATTCTAATATATTTAGAACATTATAGCTACAGTGCCATTATAAGTGTGAAAGTTGAATATTAATAAAGTTAACCACGGAGCACTTGTGAGACGACCACCAGGAGACACGGAGGGGTAAACAATGCGTGACCTAGCATCTCTTGGAACCCGGTTGCGCTTATTGTGCTCAGCATTATGATCGCATTTGAAAGCTTGAATTATTATGGCGATATTTTCAAATTTGAAACCTAAAATTTTGGCACTTATTTTTAATCAGATGCTATTAGAATTTTAAATGTACAGTATTACCCCGCCTAACGCGGTTTCACTTAACGCGTTTTATCATATACGCGGTGCCTCGCCAGAGCTGAACTTTCACTTAACACGGATTTTTTCCACATATACCAGGTGAGTGTCCGGCTCGAGACGCTATTTTTAGATTTGCCCCACCCGCCACCCTGCCTGACTGCCTGTTTTAGCTCATAAAATTCATACAAATTACCAGGCCAGAATATAATTTACATTGCTGGAATTCTTATAATTTGATCATTTTGAATATAAACATCGTATATTTTGCATTAGACATACAAATTTTAGATAAAAATTTTTCTCAGAGTAACTATGTTATCTTTTGTGCAAAATATATGACATTTATATTCAAAATATTCCTGGTCTAACAAGGAATCCAGCAATGTCAATTATATTATCCTAACTTTAGTTTGAGGTATTATTTATTAAAATTTAGTGGTTATCCCACACATCTCCTTGGGACGGTTGGTGGGGGGTGGGGGGGAGGGAGGGACCGACCGACCATCTGTTACCCTGTGAAGAATTATTATTTTTTTTTATTAACTGAAGATATTTGTTTTAGCTCATAAAATTCATACAAATTACCCGGTCAGAATATAATTTACATTGCTGGAATTCTTATAATTTGGTGATCATTTTGAATATAAACATCATATATTTTGCATTAAACATACAATTTTTAGATAAAAATTTTTCTCTAGGTAACTATGTTATCTTTTGTGCAAAATATATGACATTTATATTCAAAATATTCCTGGTCTTACAAGGAATCCAGCAATGTCAATTATATTATCCTAACTTTAATCTGAGGTATTATTTAATACTAAATGTTAAAAACTCTGGAAGGGAGGATTGGTGGGGGGTGGGGGGGAGGGTTGGGACTGACCGCGCGGTTGGAAGAGGGGGGAGGCAAGGTGGGGTACTTTGATTGACAGATAGTGTCGTGAAGATTATTTTTTTTTTTATTAACTGAAGATATTTGTTTTAGCTCATAAAATTCATACAAATTACCCGGTCAGAATATAATTTACATTGTTGGAATTCTTATAATTTGGTGATCATTTTGAATATAAACATCATATATTTTGCATTAAACATACAATTTTTAGATAAAATTTTTTCTCTAGGTAACTATGTTATCTTTTGTGCAAAATATATGACATTTATATTCAAAATATTCCTGGTCTTACAAGGAATCCAGCAATGTCAATTGTATTATCCTAACTTTAGTTTGAGGTATTATTTATTAAAATTTAGTGGTTTTCCCCCAAAATTTCTCTGAGAGGGAAGAGCCAGTGAGTGTAGTGTGAGAAGAGGGGGAGGGAGTTGAGTCCATTATTTGAATGGACATTAACTTGGCGACTGTATTTCTCTATTTCTCTTAAGTATTAATTGTGTGCATGTACCATCATAAAATTAAGATGTTATTTTTACTACAACATAGGTATGTGCCTTCAAAAAGTGGAGTTTTGGGGGTCAGGCCGGTTTCTATTGGAATTAATCCCATATGTTCTGTTGTTCACTTAACGCGGATTTCACTTAACGCGGGACCCTCTGGGTTCAATTGACCGCGTTAAGTGGGGTACAACTGTATCCGAATTTTTGAGGTTCGAATTTTAGAGGTTTCACTGTATTGTGAATTTAATCTCATATCTTTTTCTGTGTTAAAAGATTACCAGAACTAAATCTTCTAGCTTTATAAAGATGATCACCCTCATATGAAGTGAGCATAATTTACACAAGACAGTACAGGGTATACCATACTCAAACAGTTATGCTGTCTACAAATGGCTTATTTAAATCAGGTAACCTGAAATCCTAAAGTTTGCAAATAATCATGAGCAGTCACAACTGAATTGTCACCCTAAGAATCACACTCAGCATTATGCAAATGAGAAAATTAACAACTTTTAACATACCTCATCGTCACTGTCATGTCCTGAGTCTGAAAAGTTCTCTATTTCATCTTCAGACTCGATTGTACCGGGGCCCAACTCCGAGTCCAACTTCTTCCTTTTACCGATTACTTCATCTGTTTCTACAAAATATTAATATCATCATATTCTAAGAACAGATCTGTCAAATATCCTATACTGTTGTATTTTGACTATCACAGACTTTTTCCCTGTCGAGAAAAGAATTAACCATAATGAATATAATCTAAAGCTTCCTATTAATAACTCCCGTTTCAAATGATCTTTTAGGTAAAAACCCAACAATACAAACCCAGGCCATATATAAACAAATCAAATGAAATCTAATGAATGAGAATGTTACAGCGGAGTTCCAATAATTCGCTAAATACAAATTCATGTTCTTAATTCATGGGTACCTATATTACTACTTTTTTTTTTCAATTTTGCAGTTTAAATTTCATAATTTGTGGCTAAGTGCCAACTATTACAGTGTTTATTTACATAGGAAACCATAAAAGTTGTGGAAATACAGGCATACCCTGATAACCAACACATATAGGGACCAGGAAAATATGTTCATTAGTAAATCAAAAGTTATGAAACCAATTAATCCTCAAAGAATATAACAAATTCAGGGGGTTAGGAACCAACCATCCTCCAAAAACTCCCATCTACCCTTGATATATCTTTGTCGTGAACACTGTCAAGCAAGAAAATAAACAGACATATAAAGCAAGCATAATAAGCCTTAAATAAGCAATGGAAAGCATAAATTGAGACTTATTTACCTGAGTTCAGGGGCAGATCTACAGTAGGGGGAGTCCTGGGGGTCCAGACCCCCCCTTTCATCAAAAAATTCCAATACTTCTTCCTTAATGCAGTAGTATTGTACTCAGGCATTTTTGTATAGTAAAAAATAATTACTATTGACCTCAGAATAGTGGGTTCACTATGCTCGCCATGTTCCCCTACCCACAACTTCTTGGACCCCCCTCCCCTTTGATATTCCTGGATCCGCCCCTGGTGTTGAGGATGGTAGAAACGATCTAAGGTGGCAAGTTCAAGTATCTACCAATCTTTGCTGGTCCACCACCACTCTTATTATGCCTTATCGCATCACTTAAAGCTGCCCTTAAGAGGGGCAGTGCAAGAGGAACTCTCATTGGGGGCATTTAGGCATGATTGCAAAACACACAAAGTCGGAAATAACAAATAAATACTAAGTCGGAGACACATGGTAAGTGTAAACAATAGCACAAAGGCAGGGATGGGTTACAGGCAACATGCAGAGAGCTGTCGTGGCAATAATTCATACCATGTCACCAACAGCCAAATTGAAACAGCTCTGCCTCTCCTCTCCCAATCATTGGATCTCCGGGGTATCAACGAAAGTTACGGGGTATTTCCTCTATAGGTAATCGTCAGTTATATGAATTAGCGGTTATTGGGGGGGGGGGGCATCGTTTTCGGGGTATACCTGTATCATTTCAATGTTTTAAGGCGACTTAGAAATAAAGAAAATCTAATACTGTATAAATATCATTTCAATGTTCTAACATTACTTAGATATAAAGAAAATATAACACAGTGAACCCTTGAAGATCCGGACTAAAAGGGGGGACCACCTGTCCAAAAAAGCCGATTGTCCAAATCTTCTGGCAAACGTACTAAATGTATAAAATTGATAAATAATGATTTAAAAAATACCAAAAATACAACATATATTATCCTGACCACTGGGGGTAGTTATACAGATTTTTTCCTGTGAAAAAGCCATAATTTGGAGCAACATATTACAGTACTCACTAAAATTTTTATCTCTTGTGCAAACTATATGATGTTTACACTCAAATTATTCAATATTTTGCAAGGATTCCAGCAATGCAAGTTATATTCTGCTAAGTTTAGTCTATGATACTTTATAAGATAAAAACTTTAAGCCTAAAACTACCTTCACCCTGTTTTGGGAATGCTTCTTAGGAAGGCTTCTTAGCCCAAAACCCCCAAATTTTTGGCCCAAATCTTCTGAAATCTGGATTTACAGGATTTCGAGGGTTCACTGTACTGTATAAAACTATAAAATAAGAATAAATGAAAAGTAAGAATAAATTTTGTATGACAGAAGTAGGGCAGACGGCTGGCTGGACTCATCGTAAATTCCCCAAGCCACAATCCCTTTACAATTTCACCATAATTTCCATATTATTTACCGGTAGATTCATTGATGCCAGGTTAATAAAAATTCTGTATAACACAGTAATAAATTTCCCTACAAAATAATCCTGCACTCACCCCATATGAGTTACTGAGTCATTGTTTTCCACCACAGGAAGACAGCTGACCAGCCAGCCCCATGTTGATGTAATGGTGTCACTCAAAAGATGATTATGTGAAGGAAAGGAGCTGTTTATGTAATATAGAACTACTTTTTGTGCAATACAGTATCTAAGTGTAACTGCATTTTCTGATGATTTATGTATGATATTTAGTGTTTACAGCCCCCCCCCCCCCCCGAATTCGCGGGGGTTCGGTTCTCAAAATGGCGGCAAATCTCCAAATCATCCATGAATAACATTTGCGGACGGGGTGGGGGAGCACATTTTTACTTGTGAACAAAGAAATGTATATTCCCTTTATGTGTTTGCCCTTAGGACAATTATTTCTTTTACCTGGATGGTGTATAATAATAATAATAATAATTAACGGTTTATTGAAAGAGCTTGGCAGCCAGAAGGCTGAAAATATACAGTTACATATTTGGGTAATGGGTTTCGAATTACAAATAATATACAAGTAACATAAGTGACACAAATAGGATATATAATAACTAGATGGGGAAAAGCTCAAACTACAGTTCATTTCAACATAGTGACAGTGCAAGGAGTAGTGTTTACTGGGAGTGAATACACTGGTTTATTACAAGTTATTGATAATTTTTACAATGGTTGGGACTGGGCTGTTCTTATAGCGATCAGTTCGTGCACGTATGGGCTGGATGCGGTTGTGGTGTCGAACAGCAATTCTCGGACTAGGGATCTCAGGTGGTAGTACGTAGGAGCCGGTGTCGAGGATGGTGTAGAAGCTTCTTACCAAATTTGCAGATGTGTGTGTGTGTGTGTGTGTGTGCACATATTTACAATACAGGTAAATGAAATTACTGTCTCTAGAATAAATGGCTCCCTGTCCCAGCAGCGAAAATGCTGGCAACTTTAAAACTACCCACAGACATTCTTGGGTACATCCAGGGTGTCATCCGCGAGTAATAGAGGACCGCGAAATAAAAATCTGCGAACTTGGGGGGTCCCCCCGGATTAAGGCAATTTGGGAAAATTTAATGTTTATTTTATTGGCATCTGGAACTTAACTAATTATTTCCATTTAAATCAATTTAACTATACAGTAAGTCCTTGCTTAACGTCGGGGTTACCTTCCTAAAAATGCGACATTATACGAAACAACATTAAGCGGATCAATTTTCCCCATTAGAAATAGATAAAATACGGGAGTTACGTTCCTCAGCCTCCCTTTGCCCCATGAAATACATTACATAGTATACAGAAAATCATTGCCATTTCTATAGAAAATAGTGCATACTAAGTTTGTATAGGTACTCATCGATGGGTGGAGGTGGTAGAGTGAGTGTGGTGGGTAGTGAAGCAGAGGAGGCAGATGGCAGGAGGGGAGGAGTATGGACAGGAGCGGAGGAGGAGGGTGGGAGTGGAGGCGGGCGGGAGAGGAGGGTGGCGAGTCACTGAGACTCTGCACCAAGCAGAGACAGGGTGATATGCCGTAGAAAGTAGTCCGTAATGACACAAAATGACCACTACAAATTAAAAATAAAATAGTTTGCTATATAAGGACTCCAACATAATTAAACTGCACATAACAAAGAGGAAGGATTCCAAAATGTTGACCTTGTGAACAGCTAGTGTTGCTGTCATGACAGGTTTAACAAAGATCACACATGTCATACAGCTTGAATTTGAATTCAAAAGGAAGGACTGACTTAATATAAATATGGCAGACAATAAAAATGGAAATCTGGGTACCTAACTGCTCAGACAACTCTAAAACTGATATACTGCCCCTAGAGGGCAACCATTGCACAAGCTCCCCTCATTTCAGGCTGACTAGTAATGAGAAGGGAAGGTGATTGTTATATTTATTATTATAAAAGGGGGGAATACCATATACTGTAGGAATAACAACCCCACACAAAAGTTCCTCTATTATTGCAGAAGCCAACTGGCTAAGGGCAACTGCAAGAAATGTTCATACAAATCATGCTGCACCAGTTTACAATTGGGTCAGATTTTAGACACTATGGAACAAAACTTATTCTTAACATCTGACAAAATATACCTACCAAACAAAATTATCTTAACCAGGCAAAATTCCTTAGGCCAGATAAACCACACACCAATTTATCCACGAAGGTAAATGATGGTCAAAATGAAGAAAAGAGGTGGAATAGAAGCTCAACACAAAAAACCAGAAAAGAGTTTTACTGACCATCATCGGCTGTAGTGGTGGTTGACAATGGATGGGACTGTTTTTCCTCAAGTTCTTCCATTATTTCAGGCTTGTCTTGCAAGAGTAACCTCTTTTTCTTCTATTTTTTCTTCCTTGCAGGCTTGGCGAGTTCTGCTCCACTTCAGTTCACAATCACAACAGCAGGAGATCTGGGACTGTGACAGGGGAGAAAGAAACAAGTCAGAGGAAAGGTTATGAGACTATGACTTCCCATTCAACATTACACCTAATACCCTTGGATCACCTGCACACAACCACCAAAACACAAAAAATTTACATGCACCAGGACAACTACAGGCACATTTTGGGAGTCTGGCCTTTGTGTTTTGGATTGGAGTTTTTCATGGGTAATTACGAACATCATCCCTGTTTTATGGCCATTTCTCAACGTTGCATGGGTTAGCCATGAATATCTGATGGCATAGAGCCAGTTGTCATCAGGCAGATCTGATGCAAGTTTACAGCTAGATGACCTTCGTGAGATTTGGGAACTGGGGATTATACTGTATGTAGGACTTCAAAACACCATCTCAGCTGGCAGGGCAGGGTTACAACTCCCCAAGGCAATTAAAGATTACCAACCTACCCAGAAGTTTTTTCCCCAAATACTCCGACAATCAAGCAGTTTAGCATCAACCCGGGCGAAGGGGATTATCCGGATCACAGGGGCCAACCAGACCGGGTCAATTAAAACATAAATAACTTAATAAATAAAAATATTTTTCCCCATTTCAAGTGCTTGTCTTCAACAGTAACTTTGTGCATCATCTGTGCAAATATAAAGTTGCTGCAGTTAGATTTCAGTGGACAGAAGAAAAATTAGTGAAGTGTGCAAAATCATAGATAATGAACCGTGCCTGCGAACCTTGTTTTTCAAAAACCTTGATTTGGCAAAGGTGTTCCTGGAGAAATTAATATCCACTGTAGTGTGCTGAAAATTTTTTTGGATATTCCTGAATTCTTGTACTCTATGCTGAACACGTAAAAAGAACATACGTGTATAAAGTAGCCCTGCTTCTCACGACACATACACAAATGTGTTCCGTGTTCGCCCCCGGCATGTTAAAACCTAACCGGGGCATACCGGACCACCATAATACAGTCAACCCTCACATTACGCGGTCCCGCATTCCGCGGTTCACCGTTAACGCGGTGCCTTGCCAGAACCTCACGTGCTCACATTACGCGGTACGTGAACCCCATTACGCGGAGAGTGTCCGGCGCGACGCTATTTTTAGATTTGCCCCACACGCCACCCACCCGCCCGCCTGCCTGCCTCTCCCTCCTCCTCCCTCCTCCTCCCTCCGCTTGGGCAAGCGGCGCGGTAAGGTTGCGCAGTGTGTGTCTTTGTTGCGTTATCACTGACGTCATATGACGTATCAGACCTGTGATTGGCCATGCTTCCCTACCCCCCTCTGCTGCTAGCTGTAATTGGCTTAAAGTATTATGACGTGTCCACCCGGGGGAGGGAGGGAGGGAGGAGAGACGACGCTTGACCTAGCCGCGGCAGTTTCATCCCTCCAGGCCACTCCGTGTAAACGCGCATCCATTGTTCCGTAAAATGGCTTCCGCCGGACCACCACCCCCAGAGAGAAACCTTTCCTTACCTGGACCCAGCGGCACTAAACCAAAGAAGACACGACGTTCCTTAAGCTACGAGGTGAAGTATAGCATCATCCAAGAGTTGGAGAAAGGAACAAGGCAGGTTGATTTGGCGCGCCAGCATGGCGTGAACGAATCTACGATCCGGACTATAAAGAAGGATTCAGCCAAGATAAAGGAGCACATGAAGATCACAAAGTCTACAGGTGCTTCTATGATCAAGTATTTTCACAACCAGGTGCTTCTCAAGACAGAAAAATTACTTGTGAGGTACTTGGTGCGTCAGGCGCGACGGAACATGGCGGTCGACACGCGCTCTGTGAAGGACTACGCACGTGAACTGTACATGGCAGTGGCACGAAAGATGGGAACTTCAGAGCCCAAACCCTTTAATGCTTCCTCTGGGTGGTTACAGAGGTTTAAGATCCGGAACAAGATCACCAATATAAACATTGGTGGTGAAGAAGCGAGTGCTGATCGTGCTGCGGCTCGGGAATTTCCTCCGTTTTTACGTGAGATTATGGAGGAAGGACAGTACAGTGACGACCAGGTGTTTAACATGGACGAATCTGGTCTTTTCTGGAAAAAACTACCTTCCAAGTCCTTCGTTGTGAAGAATGCCAGCAGGATTCGGGGCCGGAAAATGCAGAAGGAACGCATCACCGTCCTGTTTACCACCAATGCCTCCGGTACCTGTAAGCTCAAGTTATCGGTGATCCACACAGCCCGCAAGCCGCACGCCTACAAGAGCATGGACATGACCAAGCTAAATGTCCACTGGCTGACAGCACGTAAGGCATGGATGTTCTCTACACTGTCCCTCTCCTGGTTTGATGACTGTTTTGTTCCCGATGTAAAGAAATTCTGTGAGCGACAGAATGTCCCATTTAATATTTTGTTGCTGCTGGACAACGCACCAGGACACTCGCCCCTACTGTTAGATCGTCACCCCAACGTAAAAGTGGTCTTCCTTCCTCCCAACACTACGTCTATATTACAGCCCATGGACCAGGAGTTGATTTGCAATGTGAAAGCTGCATTCTCAACAAAAAAATTCCAGCTCCTGAACGACTACACCAACACCAGGGAAGAGTTGCGTAACCTGAGTGACACCACCACCGATAGCAAGAGCGACGAAGATGAGGAACAACAGTTAGAACAGCAAAAAATACTCTTCAAACAATTCTGGAGAGTATTTAACATCAAGAAAGCTGTGGACATCTTGGTGGAGTCATGGGATCAGCTGTCTATTGCTACAATTCGTCACGCATGGAGACATGTGTTGCATGGAATACCAGGTGAGAGGAGGAGTCAATCTGTGACTGGTGAGGTTCAGAATGTTGCAGTAGCAGTGGACCTTGCCAGAGAAGCTGCGCAGACTGTTACAGTTCCAGGCTTCTCCGAGACCACCAACGACGACATCCTGGAGGTGATCAGAAATCCTGAAGTGACTGCCGACGAGATGTTGGAAGAAGAACACGTCAGTGAAGAGGAGGAAGAAGGTGCGGCAGTCTCCGAAGAACACAATTTAAGTCATAGTGATATTAAGGGTGCCATGGAGTGTGCAGAGAAGATGAAGTCCTTCCTTTCCCGCGACAATGACGATGACCGCTATGAAGTCTTCCATAACCGGCTGGTGCAGGCTATGGAGCCGTACATCAAGGTGTATCACGACAACATCAACGCCAGCCGTCAGCAAAGCATAACAGATTTCTTCACCCGCAACCCACCACAGCCAGCCCAAGCCAGTGACAGTGAAGTTGACTTTGAGGGATTTGTCAGGGAAGCCCTGACAACTGTAAGTGACAGTGATGATGATTCACCTAGTAATGGTGATTCACCTGAGGGCCAGTAATCTGCCCTCTGCCTCGGAACCAGCCTCCATCCCCGTATGCCGACCCATCTCTTCTACTACCGTAAGTGTTCCACCTAATTTTTAGTTTTCTAACCTTACCTTTATTTTTCCTATGTTAACCTTTATCTTTCCTAACCTAACCTCTTCTATATTACTTGTTTTTTCATACCATCATAAAGTTAAGATAAAATTTTTACTGCAACATAGTTATGTGTCGTCAAAAAGTGAAGTTTGGGGATCGGCCTGAACTCCATTTCAATTAATCCCATATGTTATGTTGTTCACTTTACGCGTTCCTCACTTTCCGCGGTACCCTCCGGGTTACATTAACCGCGTAAAGTGAGGGTTAACTGTATTTATATTTCATATGTCCAATTTATAACTTGTAATGTTTCTTATTTAATTTTGTAACATTAATGTACCGTATTTGCCGGCTTATAAAACACATTTTCCCCCCCCAAAAAAAATTTACAAAAAAATTACCCTGCATCTAATGCGCCCGTATTACGGATGGGAGGCCGAGCGCCATAGGCGGAGGTGCCTAGCTAGGGAGTCTGGGACGAGCAGTAGTCCACTAAGCACAAAAATTGTGTTACTAATACTATTTCTAATAATATACTGAAAAACAAGCAAAATTATCACAATCTATTATCACAAACTTACAGCAAATTTGCCGAAGACGTACCGGGTAAATAATGGCTTACATTGGCTTTTTATGGTAAGTAGTAGGCAGCTACCAAACAGGGAGGTACTACCGCCTGGGAAAACATTGGAAGCATATTGTTTTGTCTAATGGAAGACCCTGCTGCCATATGGCATTACAAAAATTGTGACCAAGTCCTAGGTTGTTGATCTGACTTTCTGCCTCATTTACACACAATTGCAGGGTCTCAATTATTTCTCTTACCACTGACAACACAACATACATATATTGTTTCTCACTCTTGATCTTTTTCATTTTTGTATTTCTGTATGGTTCATTATTATTATTATTATTACATTTTCAGCCCCCAGGCCCCGATGTGGGTCAGTCACCTGTGCCCGGGTGGGCTAATCCCCGTAAAAAAAAAATAATAAATAAAAAAATAACGGCAGAGGGAAGCTCACAAAATCTCACTGTACCTCCTTCCCCGGCATACGTACCCCACACCAGATACACGTCTTACATTATTTAATGACTGTGTTACTCTTAAGAAACATTTGTTTATTATCTAAATGAAAAATGATCCTAGAAAGATTAAAAAAATGTTAACAGAAAGTTCAGCCACCAGTCAGCCATTTGCAATGAGTCGATGACGCCAAAACAATAGCGATGGTGTTACACCCTGATGGCAGATCGCAGCAACACAAAACATCACAGCCCAAATTCATATGTTTCCCCTACAAAACCACTTTAAAATCATTTTCAATTAATGTAAGATGAAACTTACTAAAAAAAAAATTTCCACAAAATATCCTTGCAAAATAGGGGTGCGTCTTATATGGTGGTGCGTCTTATACGCCGGCAAATATGGTATGTACTAATACAGTTAACCCTCACTTTACGCGGTTAATGTAACCCGGAGGGTCCCGCGTAAAGTGAGAAACGCGTAAAGTGAATAACATAACATATGGGATTAATTGAAATGGAGTCCGGGCCGATCCCCAAACTCCACTTTTTGACGACACACAACTATGTTGTAGTAAAAATATTATCTT